AGCTCAAATCCTCCAATCCCTGCAAGATCCTTGTAAATCTTTGCTGAACCCTTTCAAGTTTAACAACATTTTTTCGATTGCAGTATTCCAAAAGTGGCCTGACCAATGTCCTGTGCATTCACAACGTGACCACTGAACTCCCATACTCAGTACACTGACCAATAAAGGCGAGCATACCAAATACATTCTTCACCATCTCCAGTCGCTGTGATTAACCTCACAAAACTGAAATACACAAGGGTGTATTCTGCAAGTAGAGACAGCAAAATAGTGTGAACATTGTACTGAGTACACAATTTACCAGCTCTATAATAAAATTCAGTCTGAACATTATGTAACTTTGGGTCGTTTGCTCCTCGGTTCATTCCGCTGTTTCTCTGCCAGCAAGCAATATTTTAGAGAGAAGTACCTCTCTGAGCTGCCACTTATTATGCCAACAAACGAGGCCAGAATTAGAGCAAGGCTGTGAAGTGGTGACCTCTGGGGCTGGTGGAGACTACAGGAAAAGAGTGGGCCAAAGCCAAGCAGGGGTTTGCAACCAATGAGGAGAATTCTAATACTGAGGTGTTGTGTGACTTGAAGCCACAGGCATGACACAGGGTGAGAGGTGACTTGACAGCAGAATTTTGGATGGCTTTCTATTTCCACAGGGAAAATGTAGGGCACTAGCCAGGAGTGTGATGGAATCGTCGTATCAAAGGTAACAAAGACAAGGCTGACAGTTCCATTAGCAGATGGCCTGAGGTAGGTGGGGAGCTGGGCAATGCTACAGAGGTGGAAATAGGCAAATGTATTGATGACACAGATATGTGTTTGGAAGCTCACCTCGTGACATCAAGACTGAAGAGTCTAGTTAAGCTCAGACAGGTGCCAGAGTGAGGGATGGAGCCAGTGGCTAGAACTGAAAACAATTTTCTAAGTGTCCTTCCAGCATCAAAGTGTACAACAGATCTCTTTCACCACCAATTAAATGATTCAGCTCCTCTATAAATATTCTTCATTACCAAGAATATCTTTGAACCTCACAGTGAGCATTTTCAATATTTCTAAGTGAAAACCCTAACTCCATATAAAATATGTACAGCTGGACAGACTAAATGCAGGAAGGATGCTCTCCTTGGTTGGGGAATCTAGAACCAGGGGATACAGTTTCAGGATCGGGGGTGTAGAACATTAGGACTGAGGGGAGGAAACATTTCTTCATTCAAAGGTGAGTGAACTGATGGAATTCTCTACCACAGAAAGCTGTGGAGACAAGATGCTACATATATTCAAGAAAAAGATAATTCTTTCTTAGATTTTAAAGGCATCAAGGGCTTTGGGGAAGAAGTGGGAATATGGCATTTAGATAGAGGAATAGCCACAATAGTATTGAAATGCGGAGCAGGCCTGAAAGGCCAAATGGCTGATCCTGCTCCTAATTTTTATGTTAACTTTAAATGATGAAAAAAATTGAGTACCTGTTTCACATCCATGGAATTATCCATGATTATATCTGGCAACAAGATGTTCATGCTTAAGTCATTACCAACGTATGGCAGCTCAAGAACTTGGAGTTTAAATTCTTGAATATGGAAGATATAGAACTTTTTCTTTTGGTGCATCGTTTTCACTGGCTTCCTTTCATTTTGTGAAAAGTAATTGAAGCACTTTATTATTTTGCAACTCAAGTGTTTCAAAAAACTGTGATGAATGAAACAGTTATGAGAACCTTTTGAAAATAAGTCATGGGATTATAAAAATGGGGGCAAACACAGGGAAGGCAGTAACTTACAAAAGGAGTACTTTAGGTATATATATACGTGTGTGTGTGTGTGTGTGTCTCTGTATAATACACTTATTGTTGCGTAGAATAATGTATAACTTGAAGCACTTACACTTTGTACTTTCTTGTGTTAAGAAGACAGGGTCATTTGATGTCATTTTTAGACTTGTTCTTGTGAGCTTGGAGCCAGGAGGTATGGAGGCTTGTCCATGTACAAGGCATTTTAATAATAACCCTTCAAATGAAGAGATTGGATTTGGTCGTTTAGTACATTAAAGGAATTTTTAGGTCCAGAGACAGGTAGAAACTCACGACAAATCCATAAGGTTGTGTTTGTGTGTGCATCTCAATATGCATGTGTGCCTGTGTGTATATAAATGTATATACAGCACGTAATGGATACTAGTGTTGCTGTCTCCAAGAAGCTGAGTTTAGGGAACTCCTGCTCGTTCAGAGATTGAAGTGATAATGAGGTTAGTTTGCACTTTGTTTTTAGGTGTATCTGGGAGAGATACTAACTGAAGGAAAGCATCATGTAACTGTGCAGGAGTTTACAGGGACTAAATTGACCACAGCTGTGGCAGCCTGTCGAAGAAGCTTTTGTATGAAGACTGTGGTAAATCTTTTCTGGGCTTTGGTGTTTTTAAGGATATTGCTGGCAAGTAAGGAATATTATATATTTTGGGGGCAGTATGGTGGCTCAGTGGTTAGCACTGCAGCCTCACAGCACCAGGGACACGGATTTGATTCCAGCCTTTGCCAACTGCCTCTTTAGAGTTTGCATATACATATCCTGAGGAAGGGTCATACTCCAGACCAACAAGCCATCTGCTACCACTAGGACCTCAAAACCAAGGTAATCTGGCTCAGGTCTGAGAGCATTAATTTAGTAAACAGAAAAGAAAGAACTGTGGATGCCGGAAATCTCAAACAAAAACAGGAATTGCTGGAGAACCACAGCAGAGTTCTGAACTGTAAAGAACAGTCACTTGATCTGAAACTTTGACTCTGCTTTCTCTCCATAGATGCTGCCAGACCTGCTGAGTTTCTCCAGCTATTCCTGTTTTTGTAACAGTTAATTTACTGTTGCCACCTGGCCTGAAATCAGGATTCAGTCCCATTCTATATAATACATGGAAATATTCACACTGCTGCAGCTGGGCATTGGGGTGGAGAGCAACAAATTCACAACATCAACTCTATGTTCTCAGTAAGATTTCTTTAAGTTTATTGATCAAATTCCAACATTCAAAGATTTTTACCTTCTTTGTATTTTAAAAATATCAGTTCTTGCTTTACCTTCAGATTGTAATTGACCGAATGAGACAGAAAACTTACCTGTAGTCCGTAACTCCACCCACTTACTGATCTCCTGCCTTATTTCATTTGCAGCAGTTTGGAAATCAACTGCAGACATCTTTTCTCCATAGAATTTCATGGAGGAAGTAAAGAATTCCTGCACAATAGGTAATGGAAAACACTTATATACATTTTGGAAGATTTCGAAGATCTGGTTTAATAATGATCAAATGGTTGACCACTAGATTTGCTAGTAATTGATGTATTGGCTGCACAGCAACAAATTTTAAACATGTTTGATCCTGGGATGTGAGTGTTGCTGGCTAGATCGGCATTTATTGCCCATCCCTAAGTGCTCTTGAGAAGGTGGTTGTGGTGTAGAGGCACCCAGAGTGCTGTTAGGAAGGTAGTAAAAGAATTTTGATGAAGTGACAGTGAGGGAATGGCAAAATAGTTTTCAATCAGGATGTTGTGTGACTTGGATGGTAACTTACAGGTGGTGGTGTTCCCATGCATCTGTTGCCCTTGTCCTTCTTGATGTTGAAGTCGTAGTGTTTGGAAGGTGCTGCCAAAGAAACATTGGTGAATTACTGCCGTGTATCTTGTAGATGGTACACACTGCTGCCGACTCTCAGTGGTGAAGGGGATGAACGTTAAAGGTGGAGTGCCAATCAAGTGGGATGCTTTGTCTCGGGTGGTGTTGAGCTTATGGAATGTCATGGGAGCCAAACTCATTCAGGCAAGTGGGTGCAAATCTATCACACTCCTGTCTAATGCTTTGTAGAGAATAGGGAAGCACTGGGGAGACTGGGGATCTCAGAATTCCTACCCTCTGACCCACTCTAAATGCCACAGTATTCTTATGGTTGATCCAGTTCAGTTTCTGGTTAATAGTAACCTCAATATGTTGAGAGTCACAGATTCGAAAATAGCCATTGTGACAAAAGGTGGAGAATATGTTATCGTTTGGGAATTTTGGATTGTTAAAGTAGAGGCAGATAGGTTTTGCTTTCAGTTCCGCGAAGGGAAATGAGGTTGTATTTAAAACATGCAAAAGATTGTTTCTATTCATGACCTATAAACATCATTTCCAAATAAAGCACAAGATTCAGTCACGTATCTAGCAGGATATCTCTATGAAAGTTGATGAAGTATTTCTAAAGTGGAACTATTCTGATATACATTAAAAACAAATCGGGGTCTCTTTTTTTTTAAACTTCAATTCAGAAAAAGGTTCCAGCTTCATCTTAGGAAAAGAACCAGGAGTTCAGGAAGGAAGGAACAGTTTCATCTGAGCACCTGGTTTGTCTTTTGGTTTGTGAACTCTCTGATCCATGAGATTTTATTTGGAAGTGTTAGAGCTATCAGAACTGATAAAAGGTTCAGAACTGGAAAGAAGTTGTAAAACTGTCCCAGAGGGAGAATTAGGAAGAATCAGTCAATGAAAGAAATTAAAGCAATGGGATAAAAGCGATAGTCTCTGGGATGACTATCTCAAAAGGATATTTCATAGAATCCCTACAGTGTGGATACAGGCCCTTCGGCCCAACAGGTCCACACCAAACCTCAGAGCATCCCACCCAAACCCATCCCCCTGTAACCCACCTAATCTACACATCCCTGAACACTATGGGCAATTTAGCACGGACAGTGTACCTAACCTGAACATCTTTGGACTGTGGGAGGTCACTGAAGCACCCGGAGAAAACTCACGCAGTCACAGGGAGAACGTGCAAACTCCACACAGACAGTCGCCCGAGGGTGGAATTGAGCCCAGTTGCTGGCGCTGTGAGGCAGCAGTGCTAACCACTGAGCCACCATGCCGCCGCTTTCTGGGGAAGAAGACTGAAATTTTGCTTTGCTTTTTATGTTAACTGCTTTCTAAACTACTTTATGAAGCATTGTTTATTGTTAAGTTCTGAGGAAGAGTCACTGGACCCGAAACGTTAACTCTGATTTTTTTTCTTCACAGATGCAGCCAGACCTGCTGAGCCTTCCCAGCAACTTCTGTTTTTTGTGTTTATTTATTTTGTGTAATAAAGTTGTATTCTTGTGTTAAATTACATTGGCAGCCTCAAAAAAATGTGTTCAAAGACTAAACACAATTGCAAAAAAAAAGCTTATTACCTATCAAGCCAGATTTCATTTTGGGATCCGACTTGTTCAGTATTACCATCGGCTGGGATCATAACTTAATGCCATTGAATGCCAAATGGCGATGGTTAGATCTTCTCATGTTGGAGATGGGAATTACTTGGCACTTGTATGGTGCAAATGTCACTTGCTAGATAGCTGTAACTCTGTCTTTGAAAGGGTTGTTGTGAGAATCCACGTGCAGCACAACTGGAATGAGTCTTCCAACCTAGTTACAGAGAACCGGAAGAATGTGGAAACAGGTGACCAACTCACAACTTACTTCTAGGAAGCTGTAGCTCTTCTCTCCATATAGTCGATTGGCCACTTTCAACAGATATGAAAAATCAGCTCGATTAATCTCGGATTGCATTTTCTGGAATCCAGAGTGGACATCTTGAACTTGATCAAAATGAAGAGTTTGTTATCAGAATAAATGCAGAAAACAAACATCACACAGGGAATTGTGACAGGGGCTACAAGTTATCATCACCTATTTTTGAGCTCAGTTCAAACAGGGATGAGGAGGAATTTCTTCTCTCAAGGGGTAGGGAATCTTTAGAATTCTTTACTGCAGAGGTTGGGTTGTTAAGAATATTCAAGGCTAAGATAGGTAGATTTTTAAATCAGTAAGGGGATCTAGCATTATGTGGGTGAGGAAGGAACATAGAGATTAGGATTATCAGATCAGCCATGATTTCATTAAATGGACTGAATGGCCTACTTTTGCTCCTATAGCTCATGGTTGCATGGTCTCTCTCTGTCATTTTGGTTCCTGCTGGTTTCCTTTGCCCCTTGCCTGCAGGCATTTATTCTGTGCTGGGATACTATTCTGCACTTGCTGGTCACCCTCCAGTAACTCATAAAGAAGCCATTCTACAGGTCTAAGACTAGAGAGCAGTTGACAGTCACTTACTCAACGACAGGGCAAGTCAGGTAAGAAACAATTCTGCTCACAGCCAACGTCCACCCATTCAGAGCAGTAGAGATCATTGAGTAGTGATCAGAAGCAGGAAATCCGGTCGATGCTCCCATCCATAACAATGATGATTCCACTTAGATCGGCTAACAGCATCAACCAAGCATTGAATAGGATCCTCTTGCTCCTGGAGGCTGAGCTCTAACTCACTGATTTAGCAAAAGCAAGAACATATTGGAGTCATTTCATGCATGTTTTTGCCATTTGAGATGCGGTGATATTTTTTGCTCCAAGGTAAACCATGGCAAATGCAGCAGAGATGCTGAATGGAGAAAAAAAGATGTTGCCATCTAGATTGCTTTCAATCAGCTTTCTGAATAGGTCAAGAGTGAAAAGGCAATTTGCTTTGCTCAGCTCCTCCATGGTGTGTTACACTGCAAAGAAAATAAATATAAAACACAAATGCTGAATATAACAAGGTTCTGAAGAAGGTTAATAAATTACCAGGCTGTGAAACTGAAGAAAGAACTGGTTAAAGAAATCGTAAGCTGGGCGTTTGCAATGAAATGTTTACAACCGTGTTATAAAACTGGACACAGGCTTTTATTGTTTATATGACTAAGATGAAATTGCTGAAGTCACCTGGGTTAGTTGATGAATACTTGATGCAAAAATGTCTGTCTTCATTGCATTCATATTGCAACACCAGCTTTTAAATCAACTTTGTACTACACAGTCAGTCAAAGTAGATTGCTTCACTTTAAGTGAAGTAGATGATGTGTCACATTAATATGTGGCAATAATTGGGAAACAAAAAGAAAAGGTGAGGCGCAAATGCAGATTCTTGAAGATAGCCATAGTAAATAACATATTACATGTCGTTAAAAATTAAATGTTAAAGGCATTAAACACCATGTTTGTATCACAAAAGAGATACAGACCTCGCCCATTTTTTTTCTAGTACTGTACTTTAAAACAGAAAACATCTGCCAAGACAAACAATGTTCTGATAGATTTATCTATAGCAGCTATGAATCCTAAACTGGCATTAGTCAGTAAATTGTGGAAGGTAAAATGCACAAGTGTGAAGTTTCTTCTATTCTTTGCTCTTCTACCACAGACCACACAAACATGGATCATTTTAACCAGATCCATCTACTCCATAAAACAATACGGAAAGATTACTCAATCAAAGTTAGGAAGATTAATAAGGCATTGAAACAAAAGTGATCGTTCAGCCTGTAAACCTGTTACACTAATCAATCAGGTCATGTCTTATTTTCGACGTTAGGCCATTGATTTTAACTTCTTTGAGTAGTTTATTAATCTGTGGTTATAAAACAAGTTACTGAGCATGCAGTATCACACAAGACGACTCCTCTTTATTATATTGTGTTCCATTGTCCATCATTATCAACACTTCAGTCAATGGTCAACCACTGTTATTCATGTTTCACCTCTTGCCTAGTCTGAACAGCTAGTAAAGGAAGCCTTTGAAAATGCTCCAATTCTGCTTTTGTCTGGTGAGCTCAGTAATGTATTATCTTGAAGTTAACGGTGTTGAACGAATATATGCAGAAGCACACGTTGCTTTTTAGGCTCTGTAATCCCATGTTGCTACACGTTATCCAGTTCATAAAGCTTGTGTCAACCATTGATCTTGATTTCATTGAACAAAAACACAAAATGGGATGCAAACACTTGATCATCCACTGATAGTTTCAATGAGTTTCCATCATTATCTTCAAATGTTTTTCCTTTAGCAAATATTATGTTATGACAAGATAAATTGACAAATAACCAGATAGTTCCAGATAAAGAAAATCATTCAATCCTTATTTATTAGTTCATCCATAAATGTCTTAGTTTCTCATTACAGTTTTGAAATCTTAAATGCATCCTGAGTTTTCACATGCACCACTTTGCCTGGAAATTTATACTTCCTGTTGATCACTCACTTTCTAGTTCCCTTGCTGTCTGACTTGTAGCTATTTCCATAGCATTCACAAGACACCTATGTTCATTATTTTTGCAGAAGATTGTATAGCACTGAAACAGTATTTGGCCCACAAAGCTTCCTCCCATCTTACTTCCCCCCGCCCTATCAACACAGCTTTCTCTTTCCTTCATCCTCACTTCCTTGTCTAGCTTCCCTGCAAATGCATTTGTGCTCTTTTTTCATGACCACTCCATGTGGCCACAGATTTCATATTCTTACCACTCTGAATAAAGAACTTCTGCCTGAATTATTATTTCTCATTCACAGCACCCTTGTTTTGAACTCCCCTACAAGTGGAAAAATCCTAAACACCTTCAGAATTTGAAATACCTCTCTTCTGTAACCTCTCTAGCCTCTTATTCCTTGGCAACACTCATCCCTGATCGTTGCACCTTCTGCTGTGGTACCACTCTTGGAACTTTCTTTTTAGATTTTCTAAAGGTCTTCCAAATGCTTGAAACATGGAGGCCAGAGCAGTGCACTGTCCTCCAGGTGTGATTTTTTTCAAGTTCTATAAATGCTTATACCATTGTATTGCATCTGTTGCTTCCAATCTTTCAATTTGATTTGAATTAATTTTGGCAATTTACTCTGAATTCCCAGAGTACTGAATTCAACTCAAAAGTTTACATGAGGAACCTTTCCCAATGTCTTTTGGAGTCCATGTATACTGGACCATATTGCTTTCTGGTCTGCATTTGAGATGTTGCTTCCATGAAGCAGGTGAGCATAGTAAAACATAATGTATTCTTTTGTGTTGTGTACTGTGCATTAGCTTATGGAGAGATCCTCAAAAGTACTTCTGCAGTGTGAACAGAGTTTTAATTTCTCTGTATATTTATCCCTTTTTATAAACATGAGCCCCACACTGACCACCTTCTAACCTACTGGTGTCTCTCCAATGTTCAAAAACTACCTCATGAATCATTACTGCCTCAAAATATCCTTCCTGGACTTCCTTTTCATTTTACAAAGGGAATAGAATCCCTACAGTGTGGAAAGAGGCCATTTGGCCCTTTCGAGTCCGCACTGACCCTCTGAAGACCATTCCATCTAAACCCTGCACCCACCCAATTCTTGTAACTTTGCACCTACCATAGCTAATCCACCTAGCTTTCACATTCCTAGATACCACAGGGCAATTCAGCACGGCCAGTCCACCTAACCTGCACATCTTTGGTTTATGAAAGGAAACCGGAGCACCCCACAGAAACCTATGCAAACAGGGGGAGAATGTGCAAACTCCACACAGTCACCCAAGGCTGGAATCAAACCAAGGTCCCTGTGCTGTGAGGCAGCAGTGCTAACCACTGTCTCACCGTGCCGCCAATACCACATGGGGTCCTTGTGATCTATTTATTGAGAGTTTTTGTTTTACAAAAGACAATCGATTTCATGTTATTTCTATAAAAGTATGAACGGGTTTTACTTTGTTCCATTTTCTCCAATGTGTTTCTCAAGATCTCCTCACTTGCTGACATTATCATGGAATATAGCCGTTCCACAGTTTGGCTTCTGAATATATCTTTCAGAGATTATACTTCTTTTCTAACTGCCCAGTTCCTGCAAGAAGCTGGTACTATTGCATTCAGCCTCTGCTGCTGCTTTCTGTCTGGGCTGACATGTCAATCTTGAGCCTACCAAAACAAAAGGCAGCTCGCCTGCAGCCAACTTATGCTGGGAACAGAGCACATGGCCTTGGGTTTGGCTCCTCCCCCTTTTGTGGGGTTTGGGGTGTAACAGGTACAAAGTGCTGCTCTGTCTCTCTGCCCCTCTGATCTCTGTGCTAACTAGTTTCTGAAATTCATTACAGTCAAACGCCACCCATTCATGTGACTGCCCTTGAATTATTCATGTTACACTCACTGTACACCTTTTTGCGCAATGCGAGTATTATTTTTACTTATCCATTGTTTTAAACATTGAAAATTTGAAAGGATATCTTACTTCCCATAGTGGAGAAGACGTTAACCAGACACTGCATCTGTTTTCTCACGTGGATGTCATCATATCATATACTTTACTCCTGTTCCTTATTTTTGTTATTGTATTATTTGAATTGTTATTTTTACATAAATTATCACTATTTCCTATTCCTACCATCTGAAATAGAGTAGGCATTCCTTCCCAGTCATCTGGTCAATATTTATTCCTCACTAACATCACAGAAGCAGATTATCTGGTCATTCGCTGCATTTCTGATTTTGGGACATTGCTGTGCGCAAATTGGCTTCTGTATATTTGACATTATAACGGTGACTACACTTTAACGCGCATCATTGGCTGTTAACCACTTTGTATCAGCCCAAAATTGTGAAAGGTGCTATATAAATGGAAGTTCTTTCTATTTATCAATTAAAGATGCCTTTGGAGTTCCTCAAAATCTTCACATGGTAAAAAGAAGAACAAAACTGCATTTATTTTGCTTTCCGTTGCCTCCACTCGTGACACACTCCAAAGTGCCTACATGTCATTAATACTGATACAACTTTCTTCAGATGTAAGTACGAATCTCTCGATTTTTAGTACGCTGCAGTGGTGACATCTCTCAAATGTGTCAGGGGTAATGACTATTATCACATTGCTGTTTGTGGGGTCTTCCTGTGACCAAATTAGCTTCCTTGTTTCCTACAATACTTGACTTCAAAGGCTATTCCTTGGCTGCAACATGATTTGCCACATTCCAAACTCACAAGATTGGGGAAGTCGGCAGTTGGGCGGTGGGGGGCTCCTGGGGGTGGGGGGTGAGTGTGCCTCATACAAACCTATAAATGTCTAATAGGGTTGATGCAGGAATGAAGTTCCTGAAGACCAGGGAGTCTAGAACCAGGGTCACAGTCTAAGGATATGGGATAGGCCATTTCGGACTGAGATGAGGAGAAATTGCTTCACCCAGAGAGTGGTGACCCTGTGGAATTCTATACCACAGAAAGCAGTTGAGGCTAAAATATTGAATTCTTTCAAGAAGGAGTTTGGCATTGTTCTAAGGGCTAAAGAAATCAATTTTTTTTTTTATTCATTCACAGGATGAGGGCTACGCAGCATTTATTGCCCAGAGGGCAGTTAAGAGTCAACCACAATGCTGTGGGTCTGGTTGTCACATGTAGGCCAGACCAGGTAAGGATGGCAGTTTCCTTCTCTAAAGGGCATTAGTGAACCAGATGGGTGTTTCTAACAATTGACAATGGGTTCACAGTCATCCTTAGACTTCTAATTCCAGATATTTATTGAATTCAAATTCCACCATCTGCTGTGGTAGGATTTGAACCCAGGTCCCCAGAACATTATCTGGGTCTCTGGGTTAATAGTCTAGTGATAATACCACCAGGCCATCACCTCCCCTTAGATCAGATAATTGTATTGGATCCCCTTGTATCAGACAAAAGCAGAATGGGGTACAGGGTTAGTTGATGAGCCATGATCATATTGAATGGTGCTGTAGGTTCAAAGGGCCAAATGGCTTCCTCCTGTTCTTATTGTCTACAGAACCATAGAGTTGTACAGCATGGAAACAGACACTTCGGTCCAACTCATCTGTGCAGACCAGATATCATAAATTGATTTATTCCTATTTACCAACATTTGGCCCATATCCCTCTGAGCACATTTTTTCATGCACCCATCCAAATGCCTTTTAAATGTTGTAATTGTTCCAGCCTCCATCACTTCCTCTGGCAGCTTATTTCATACATGCACCATCCTCTGCATGAAAATGTTGCCCCTTGGTCTCTTCTATATCTTCCCCCTCTCACCTTAAACCTATGCCCTCTAGTTTTGGACTCCCATATCCTGGGGGAAAAAAACCTTGGCTATTCACCCTATCCATGGCCCTCATGATTTTATAAACCTCTATGAGGTTGCCCCTCAACCTCCAACTCTCCAGAGAAAATAGCCCCAGGCTATTCATCTTCTCCCTTATAATCCAAACTCTCCAACCCTGGCAACATCCTTGTAAATCTTTTCTGAACCCTTTCAAGTTTCACAACATCTTTCCAATAGAAGGGAAACCAGAATGGAACATAGCATTCCAAAAGTGGCCGAACCAATGTCCTGTACAGCCGCAACATGAGCTCCCAACTCCTGTACTCAATGTACTGACCAATAAAGGCAAGCATACCAAACGTCTATTTCACTATCCTGTCTACTCAACACTGCAGTTTCAGGGAACTATGAACCTGCACTCCAAGATCTCTTTGTGCAGCAACACTCCCCAGGACCTTACCTTTAAGTGTATAAGTCCTGCCCTGATTTGCCTTTCCAAAATGTACCACCTTACATTTATCTAAATGAAACTCCCTCTGCCACTCCTTGCCCATTGGCCTATCTGATAGGTCAGCATGCAACAGTGTCAATCCTCAGGTTTGGTTTTGCTTGTGCCTTTCATGGTTTCAGATAGGAAATGAATAACTCCGTGTCAATTCCCAAAGTGGCACCATATTGTTTTTCTCCCCTCTGGATTATGTTTGTTATCAGTACGAGAGGAAAAGGGCAGATCAAACATGGGTGCAGTGACTGGATTGTCTCTCCTGCGCTAATACGGATTACACGAAGGTCTGCAGCGTTGACAGGGCGATGTGGGGGTCACTGAGTGGTCAGGGTGAGATAGAAAGACCCTTACCTGATGCGCCGATATCTTTCAGCAGCCACGACTTCCTTGTACTGTCTGGGCACCCGCCTATGGGGTGGTGTTTTATCCTGATGTTCCCACCCCACCCCGAGCCTCAAATTGACTGCTTTCCTGAGGCTCTTCTTAGTAGCACACAGGAATTGCTTGCTTCTGATTTCTGCTTTTTTTTGAAAGTTGCTGCCAAATTACAGAGATTCTAAGAAGTGTACATGTCCTAGTGCAGCCTCAGAAACTAAGAAACCTTCCTGAATACACATCGGTGAGAGATACTCACATTGGAAGTGCAGTGGCACAGGGATGAACATATAACACAGAACCTAGAACAGTATAACACAGGAACAGGCCCTTCAGCCCACCATGATAGCATTCTAAACTAATCCCGTCTACCTGCACAAGGTCTATATCCCTCTATTCTCCACCTGTTCATGTATCTATCTAAATGCCTTTTAATCCTTTCCAGTGTATCTGTTTCTACCACCTCCCCTTGCAACACGTTCCAGGCACCTATCACCCTGTTTAAAATGCTTGCCTCTTATATCTCCTTTAAACTTTCCCCCTTTTACCTTAAACTTATGCCCCTAGTTTTTGATATTTTCACCCTGGGAAAAAAACTCCAACTATCCACCCTATCCATGCCTCTCATAATTTTATATACTTCTGTCAGGTCACCGCTCAGCCTCTGACAGTTTAGCGAAACAATCTGATGTACACTAGTATGGTGACAGTCTGACAAGTGGAAAATCCAAGCTAATAATGCTTGTTTCTCTCGCTCCACAGATGCTACCAGACCTATTGAATTTCTCCAGCCGTTTCTGTTTTTATGACAAATCTCTAGTATCTGTTGTATTTTGTTCCTGAAATGACTTACTGGTCTCTGAGGTTTGCAAGGTTGATCTCAAGAATGGAAGAATTTGCTTATGAGGAGTGGTTGAGTATATTGGGCTTGTGCCCACTGGAGTTGAGAAGGATCAGTGGGTGACTTTATTGAAATATACAAGACTCTTCAGGGCCTTGGCACGGTAGATGCGGAAAGGTTGTTTCCTCTTGTGGGCGAGTCAACAACCAGAGTGAGGAGTTACCCATTTAAGACAGAGATGAGGAGAAATTTTCCTGTCTCAAAGAGCTGTTATATGTGTTATACTTGTTCAAATGCTCACTGTATAATGATGGTGTGTTGCAGTTCATTCAAGGCATCAGAGTTATTGTGACAACATGCAGTTTTAGAAGCATGTTGAAGTCAGGAGCTCCGGAGCATGATGGGAGAGCATCCAAAGTTCAGCCCATATGGCTAACCAGGAATCTCTCCAGCTCCTACCGCCTGCCATAGGGATGTGTTAGAAGGATTGGCAGAGTGATACTCAACTTGTATGTTCTTCCACTAATAATGACTTTGAACTGGGGGAATCTGTAGTCATCTGGTTTCTTGGTCTTTTTTTTGGGAGTAAGAGAATAGCCATCTGTAATTCTTTCATTCAAAAAAAAAGCATGATTCTTGAATCATGGGAGATTTGGAATACGACTAATGCATTTTCAACCAACACTTAAGCACCCCAGGTAGAAATCATCAGGTACTGAACACACACCATCAAGTGCCACCTTTTTTTTTCAATTTGTATTAAATCAGCTCAAGTTCCTCCTCTTTGTCATGTTAATGATAGTAGCCCAATAATAATTAGTCATTCTTCAGAGATTGATTAACTTTGTGGGCCAGTTTTTTTTTTAAAAACAGGTTATGAGGCAGACTTCAAGTAGCAAAGTTTTCTGGTGGAGTAGACCATTCGGAACCAGAGCAGACTGAATTAGCAGGCAGAGTTGTACCATTGTATACACTCAACGTATGGTGTCCTTAAAGGCAAAGACTCTTAAAAGGAACATGTACACGATCTGAATATATTTTTCAATATTTCCTGGGCAATTCTAGTACTACATTTTGTGTCTGTGCTGAAAGACTGAAAAGTTACTTGGAAACTAGTGAAAAGTTGATAAACTGACTTCAAGAGCTGTGGGAAACCTAAGGAGATAGTTCAAAAATGTTACAATCTCTGCAGACACTGATAATTGTTCAAAGAGATATTCGAGATTCAGTTATTAGCTGAGAAGGATGACAAAAGATATCCCATCTTAAATGCAAACTTTTACTTTATCAAAAGACCAAGGACAAAACACTTTACTTTTGCAGGCAACTTGTAGTTAAAATAACTGAACAATATTTGTGACTTTTTACAATTACAGACAATCCCAATTTTGTCTCATTTCTCAATCTCTGAAATAGACACCCACTTTTTCTGAAACCAATGCAAAATGTTTTGCAGTTCTCAAGACCTTTACTTCTTTGCCTTTCCCGACACTAATCAACCACAATGAGCGTGTTCCTGGGGAGAGTCCTCAGCTCAGAAAATGTTCCAATTGCGTTAACTACTGCCATCCCTCGAATTACAAACTAAGCGACTGCTCCCACTCGCGTTCTGCATGGTGCATGCTAAAGTCAGCATCTTCTCTGCCTAATGTGTGGGCTACTATCCATCTCATGATCTCATTCACTGACCTGAAATTTAAAGATACTGACCAAAACACTTAAACCAAAAGGTAGTCCAAAAGTAACAATAAAAATGTACAAACAAAAATAGTGACCTCCTTGTTTAAAAGAAAGGCCTTTTAAGATTCTGATTGTGTACTTGCACTGGTTTACTACCTACGTCACATATCGGTGAACAAAAAGAAGAAAGCATGAGGCAGGTTCAAAATGTTTTATTTTGACATCCATTACACTGCATCAGTGATATTTTTTAAAAATTGCAGTCTCCTGTGTATAGGTTTAAGCTTAAAGAACAAAAACAAAGTTGCTGGAAAAGCTCAGCAGGTCTGGCAGCATCTGTGAAGGAGAAAACAGAGTTAACGTTTCGGGTCTGGTGACCCTTCGTCAGAACTGATGGTGCTGGGAAAACGTCAATTTATATGCAGAAAATAGGGAGGTGGGTGGGGTAGGGAGTAAACGATAGGATAGAGCCCAAAGAGAGAGACAAAGGCAGTTAGACAGATAAAGGAGTTGTTAACGATCAGGCTGGGAGGGTGAATAGTTGTTAATGGGGACCGTCAGTGACTCACAACAGGGGGTGTGTAGTGGCAGGCTATGCAGTAACGAGGCCTGGTGTGTGGGGTGGGGCGCTGGGACATGGCAGCGTTAGGCCCTAAAATTATTGAACTCAATAATTGAGTCCAGAGGGCTGCAGGGTCCCTAAGCAGAAAATGAGGTGTTGTTCTTCCAGCTTGCGTTGGGCTTCACTGGAACACTGCAGCAAGCTAGAGACAGAGATGTTGGCCAGGGAGCGGGGTGGTGCATTAAGCTTAAAGACATTGCATGTAGCAAAAACATCATATATTTTGGCCTGAAATGTTTCATTCAGAAGGTTAAATGATTCTTGCAATGAAAGCTCATTCCCTTACATTCGGACATGGCACAGCAAAAGTAATTCATAACGTGGAGCACTCTGATTTTTGGAATTTTTTTAAATGTCTGGACAGAAGCAATCGTACACGTTCTTGGAAGTGTACAAGGCAGATGAGGGAATAGAAAAGGTTAACCCAGGAAACTATTTGCATTTAATATAGTGAGTAGGATATGGGGATGTAGGTACAAACCACGTTATTAAAAAAGGTAAATTATAAGTGATTCACAAACTGAACAGAATTTGAAGCAGACTTCAGACAGTGAAATAAGAAGTCAAATCATTTACAAAATCCATAAGTACTGAAATGGGGTTTGGGTGTGGTCAAGAGACAGTGTATCATGTGCCTGGATGAATGAAGGCACTGTAATTACTGTTGGAAGTAAACAGATGGGGCGACAAAGTTAAAGGATCAACTCCTTATTTTAGTCCTCTTGTTATATCACAAAGACAGATGAAGGGAAAAAGGGCTCCTTTATTCCAAAATGCCTGGACAAATGGCTTACGAAAAGCTTTTATTTACAGCCCTATTTCCTTCACTACCATCAACCCATTGATGTCAGTTTTGGTAAGTGTAATTTGCAACGTAATCCCTCCAAATAAGAATGAGGGGACATCTTATAGAAACATACAAGATTATGAAGGGAATAGATAAGGTGGAGGCAGGGAGGTTGTTTGCGCTAGCAGGTGAAACTAGGACTAGAGGGCATCACCTCAAAATAAAGGGAAGCAGATGTAGGACTGAGGTCAGGAGGAACTTCACCCAAAGGGTTGTGAATCTGTGGAATTCCCTGCCCAGTGAAGCAGTTAAAGCTACCTCGCTGAATGTTTTTAAGGCAAGGCTAGATAAATTTTTGAACAGTAAAGGAATTAAGGGTCATGATGAGTGGGCAGGTAAGTGGAGCGGAGTCTCAAAAAGATCAGCCATGATCTTATTGAATGGCGGGGCAGGCTCGAGGGGCCAGATGGCCTACTCCTGCTCCTGCACCTAGTTCTTATGTTCTTATATTCTCAGGCAAGACCTATTTCTATAATTTCTATTTAGCTACAGAAGTGTTTAAAAAAATTAAAGTACATCTAATAATTAAAAATTATTTTATCCCATTCTATCTATCTCTCCCAGCTAGCATTAATCTGTGCTCCCTTGCGGATCTCTAGATTGTCAAAAGCTTTGGATTTGGAAAACCATTTGCAAGGATGTCATCCAACCAGTCTGAGCATTGTTGGATGGCAATAGCTGCGTGTTGAGGGGGTTCAGTATTTTCTTTAAGGGGAGGACAGCCTTCCAAAGAACAAAATGTTGCGCGTCTTGTTGTGCCTGATGAAGAACAGAAATGGGTGGTCAGCCACAAACTCAAATGGAATCATTGCACAACGCAACATAACGACAGCTGCTGTGGCAGCGGCTGCCTCCGTGCCCTCCTCATTAACTTCTACAAAAGCTTTATGAACAACCTTCGACAAAACCAGATCATTTTTCCCAGTCATTCCAGAGAAGTTAGCTTTTGGAATACTGAAAGCATCTGACATTCCCATTTCTTTAAGTGTTGCTCCAAGGTCATATTTCTCCTCTAGCTTGAATTTTGGCAGCACCACTTTTACTTCCATATTATCCATCTTTTCTGGGTTGGACCAATCCATCAGATTATCAAAAGTGAGTTGACTCTGAAGCTAAAAACAAAAGCAAAAAATCTATATGTTAAAATATCTATGCATGTCAATCTTTATACAGAATGTTGAGAACAAAATGCCCCTATCAACTAATATTCAGAGTGACACCATGTGTCAGTCTTTGTTGCCTGTCATCTGTAACCTTACTTGGGGAATTTAGTCAGTTCATAAAATAGATAGTAAGGTGGGAAAGCACAAGAACAAACCAAGGGAAATAAATTTAAAAGAAAACCGAGATCTGGAACTGCAGTTTCCATCAAGCAAGCAGTCGTCTGGTTTCACTGTTACATGATTGAAGCATCAATGATAATTTGCAAGAGTATGTTTGCAGAAGCCCCTCAGTGTCTCCTCACCCAAACTAACCCCTATCCAAATTACTCATCTCGCAAATGCACTGTACCTTTCATTTCAACCATTCTCTTGCTAGCAAGTTCTACATTTTCACTACTCCTTGGGTGAAGTTTCTGCTGAATTCCCAATAGGACTTTTTTAGCCAACTGTCTTATATCAATGGCTTCTAGTTATGCTCTTCCCCACAAGAGGGAACCATCCTCCTTTTACCCTGTCTATCAAAAACTTTCATAATTTTAAAGACAACCATTAGGTCACCCTTTAGCATCTCCCTTCACCCCTTATCCTCAACTCAAGCCCAGGATAAAAGAACCATGTCAATGATTTCCTGATATATACACCTATGGGTTTCTGACAGAATTCTTGGAAATCTCCTCCTGACCCTCTCCATTCCTACATATCCATTGTATAACATGACAACCAGAATTACATACTTTGTTCTCAAGGTTTGATACCGGTCCAACATAAAACTTCCCCACTTTTCAAATAATCCCTCTAGAAATAAAGGTCAGTTTTGCCTTTCTTGTGGACTGACTTCTGGGGGAGAGACATCAAAGAGGAGTCTGGAGTTCTACGTTTAGCAGCACAATCAATCTTTATTTGGAGATCTTTTATCCGTGGAGCATGGGAGAGGTTCCTGGAAGTGTCCACTGAACACTCCCAGTCATGTACAGCATTACAATAATTACATGCAACATATTTTGCCATGAACCCCACATCTATACATCCAATCCTGTAAACACACGATCAATGATGGACATCTTTATGGACAGCCCTAGGTTCTCCATGATCTCACAATGTTTACCTGATATTGTTACCTTCAAGCCTTGGGATCTCTCAACATACCCCACTAATTTACATTCCAATGTTAACAGTTCTACTCTCTCAGACATTTGCCAGACTTGCTTATCTCGAAGAAATGTTTGAATTCTGTTATTCATTGCTATACTTATTAAATTCTGTTTCTCATCTTATATTTCGTACTACCCTAATCACGGAAGATTCAAAAAGATGCTAATTCTTACTAATTGCTATAAAATTCATTACATCAGTTCTAATATAAAATTAGTTATATATAAAAAGTTATATGGTTACACCCAACGTTAGAATTCTTAAGCCAACAAGATAGGAGTAGCTTCTGTCCCACTTGACCTTGTGAGCTTAGATAAGCACTCACCCTCCACTTTGTAGCTGAAACTATGAATCCTTCTATTCACACGCTGTCTACAAGTGTGCTTTAAACAGGAGATTGCTTTCAGATGAAACTTACCGTCCCTATTCTAAATATTTCTACACTAACTTTTTAAAATTGATAATACAACATCTATTCGAATTCCATTCGTAAGATTGAAACTCAAACACTTTCACAGCTCAATAAGCTTGTCTGAACTTAAGGTTTTACAAAAAAAATTCTCGTTTCCCTTTTACTTTAACATCTGTCTCTGTCCTTCCTCCCTTCATCTTTGAGTCTATGGATTCATTTGAGCTGTCTCCATCATTATTATTTAGGCTTGTTTATTTACGTTAGACCAAAAGACATAGGAGCAGAAATTATGCCATTCGGCCCACCGAGTCTGCTCCGCCATTCAATCATGGCTGATAAGTTCCTTGACCCCATTCTCCTGCTTTCTCCCCATAACCCTCGAACATCTTGATAATCAAGAACCGATCTCTCAATCTTAAACGTACTCAATGACCTGGCCTCCACAGCCTTCTGTGGCAGTGAATTCCATAGATTCACCACTCTCTGGCTGAAGAAGTTTCTCCTTATCTCCGTTCTAGAAAGGTCTTCCCTTTACTCTAAGGCTGTGCCATCAGGTCCTAGACTCTCCTACCAATGGAAGCATCTTCCCAACAACCATTTTGTCCAGGTCATTCAGTATTCTGAAAGTTACAATTCTTCCTTTTAAATTGCAAAGAGTATAGTCCCAGAGTCCTCAAAAGTTCCTCATATGTTAAGTTGTGAAGCTGCCATTGTTCACATTCTCAAAGTCAGTCTGGTGCCCGTGAGAAGTTATCAGTTTTCCCCATTTGTCATTCAGTTCCCCTCTCTGATGAAATGAGACTCCTCTCCTTTATCTATAGCCTTTTGTTTAGCCAAATTCAGCCAAATTTCTTAAGCGTCAGGTGTAGACAGAATTTCTTAATTTCGCAATACTCAATAACCTAAAGAGTCTTTACTATTGTGGGATCATACTTCTGTTTTAATTCTTGCTAAACTACAAAGTTCAGGCTGTCTTTTCTTATTCTCAGAGACATCACTGTCTTCACTTATGATCTCAACCTAATGCTGAATTATAGAAGCTATTTCTGACACTACCATTTAAAATGGTCCAATTTCCATTGTAGCTTATTTTACACTGAGGAATCTGCAAGATATTTTACTGTCTTGTGTTCCTTGATTAATGTAATTGGTACCACAAACCAAACACCTTGCTTTTTTTTTTAAATTCACTGATAGGATGTGAGCGATGCTGACTGGACCAACATTTCTTGCCCATCCTAGTTGCTCTGGAGAATGTGGTGGTGAGCTGCCTTCTGGAACTACTGCAGTCCCCTTGGTGTAGGTACAACTGCGACAAGGTTGGACTGTACTTTTAGCCTAATAATGAACGTAAATATTACCGAGAGAAATATGTCAATCATCAAACTAAAGGTGAAGGTTTCCCTTAGATGTTGTCATAGATTCTGCATACTTGTCCTGGAGGGTATTTTTAAAAATCATTTTAAGCACTGGAGTGAAAATCTCCAGTGTAATACAGACTCTTGTCAAGCTGCAGACATTTTATTCTCATGAATTATTCCCAACGCGTTGCATTCCTCGCTCTAGAGAAATGGAGGGAAACATTCAGATTCAAAATGACATTTTTGATAGATGGTCAGCCATTTACTTATTGGTTGTTGGCAAAAATGCTGTACACGAAGACTGGTGAAATTCTGCTCTTGTATTATAACAAGTCAGGCTTGTTCATACCAGAACCAGCTAGCAATTTGCCCAAATGCTGGATGGATTTAAATGCACGCACATCACGTCTGCAAAGTCAAGCTTCCCTTTTCACAAATAATTCAGTCAATGTATTTTAAACTCAATCATAAACTATTGAACAGATTCGCTTAATAAAAAGCGAAATGCTGCAGATGCTGGAAATCTGAAACTAACACAGGAAGCACAGCAGGTCTGGCAGCAAATGAGGAGGGAGCATTAACATTCAGAGTCCGATTATGACTTCTTCAGAACTAACTGGACTTGAAAGGTTGACTGTTTCTATTGCCACAGACAGTGCCAGACTTGCTGAGTTTCACCTACAGATTCCTTGTCTGCATTTTACTCCCATTTACTCATGAGATTTATATTCATTGTTTGGATTCATTTTTGGGTGAGACATGCTGAATTAATCTTTTTCTACCCACCCCTACCTCCCCTCCCCCCCCTTAATGGTTTGGTTTCCTTGGAATAACTTGAAGCATTGTTTCATGTTAAAGCTTACAACTTACGTTTTCCAGTCCACTGAAGTTGTCATCAATATCTGGCAACAGGATGATCATACTCAGCTCATTCTGAACATAGGGGAGCTCAAGTATCTTAAGTTTAAATTCATGAATGTATGCCATGTTAAACTTGGCTTTTTGCCACATCATTTGCACTGGTTTTGTTTCATTCTGCAAGTAAACAGAGATTATTAGTGAAACTAGACAGCACCATTTATCCAGAATGGAAAATAATTCCAAGGGCAGGAGGTTTCAAAATGAAGCTTCCTTTCACAAAGCAACAATCTGTTCAGAGAGCTTTCAGATATTGATCACTTCTTGATGTCAGTGTGGTATATAGCCCCCACGATCTCTGCTTCATCTGAAGTTGCACAAGCCCATAGAAATTGGCAGCTTCAGGAGCAAACAGGCCACACACAAACAAAATGCTCCCTTTAAAAATGTACAGCCGCGTGCAAGTATTGAAGAGAACATACAATCTAACAAGCTGGCCACATTCACCAAAGAGAAATTAGAGAGAACATCTGCTATGGTACAAGACGAAAATAAGACAGTAAGATGTAGGAGCAGAAGTCTATTTGGCCCATCGAGCCCACTATACCATTCAATGAGATCATGGCTGATGTGATAATCCTCAACTCCACTTTCCTGCCTTCTCCCCATGACCCATGAGTCCCTTTTGATTAGAAATCTCAGTGACAAATATAATCAACAACACAACCAAGCCAGCCCTCTGTGGTTAAGTATTCCACAGATTCACCACCCTGCGAGCTGTCACCTGACTGGAGCCTTCAACAGTTTTAGCAAGACCTCCCTATTTTTATAAAAATTGAAAGAACTGCAGATGCTGGAAATCAAAAAACAGAAATTGCTGGAAAAGCTCAGCAGATTTGGCAGCATCTGGCTTCTGAGAAAGGGTCACTGGACTTGAAACATTAACTCTGATTTCTCTCCACAGATGATGCCAGATCTGCTGAGTTTTTCCAGCAATTTCTGTTTTTGTCCTGATTTTTATACACCATTCCCTTTGAAATACAGGCTAACATTCCTTAGTTTGCCAATCTAACATTTACCTTCCCTATAACCTTCTGAACTCAGACATTAGCTTTGAGATTCATGCATTCGGTCCCCCTAATTCGTCTGTCACAGATTTCTGCAGTCTTTCCTCAAGTAAATAACATTCAATTCTTCCTTTCTTTCTCACATTTTATTCCATCTGCCAAGTATTTTCCCACTCACTTAGCTGGCCTACATCACTCTGTAGATTCAGATCATCCTCACCATTTTCCTTCCCACCTAATTTTGTCATCTGCAAACTTGGCGAAGGTCCACTCTCTTTCCTCATCCACGAGAGTAATTAATGCAAAGTAACTGTGGTCTGAGCACTCACCCCTGTGGCACTCCACTAGGTTCAGGTTGCCATCCTGAAAATACCATCTTTATCCCAACTCTGCCTTCTATTAAATAGCGAATCCTCTATCTGTTATAGCATACGCCTCCAACACCATGGTCTCTTATCTGAAGTAGCCTTATGTGTAGTACCTTATTAAATGTCTTTTGAAAATCCAAATATATTACATCAAATGGTTCCCCCTTATCCATCTTGCTTGTTACCTCTTCAAAAGAACTAACAAATCTGTCGAGATTGATTTCCCCTTCATGAAGCCACGTTGTCTCAGCTTGATTATGTTATATGCTGCTAAATCTCTATTTCGTCCTTTACAGGATATAACATTTTCCCAATAATACATGTTAAGCGAACTGGCCTAAGTCGCCTGTTTTTTGATTTCTTCCCCTTACAAATAAATTTTGCTAACCTGCCTCCCCCCCCTCCCTCCCCCCAACACAAATGTAGTATTTTTGGTATGCTGTTTGTGTCCTCTACAGTGAAGAATAATGCAAAGTATTTGTTCAACTCCTTTGCCATTTCCTGGCTGCCCAGTATTTCTCTAAGAGTCCTGTTGCCTCTTTTCTTTTTATATATTTAAGGAAGCTCTTACTGTCTGTTTTTTATGTTACTTGCTAATTGACCCTTAATTTAATTTCTCATCTTTTCAAAGTACAAAAAGACTTTCCCAATCCTCCGATTTACCATTGACCTTTACCACAATGTATGTTTTTCAATTTGATTTGATACAGTCTTCTACTTTCCTGGTTAATCATGGTCAATTCATCCCCTTCCTAGAATCTTTCTTTCCCACTGGGGTATATCTTTGCTAAGAGTCATTTTTTTTTTTTGGAAAACACATCTCCCATTGTTCATCAACTGCATCTTCGGCTAAACTCAGCCAGCCCATTCCAGCCAACTCATACAACTATAGTGTCATAGAGCTATATGGCATGGAAACAGACCATTTGGTCCAACATGTCCATCCCAACCAGATATCCTAAATTAATCTAATTCCATTTGCCAGCATTTGACCCTTATCCCTCTAAACCCTTCCTATTCAGATATCCATCCAGATGCCTCTTGAATTTTGTAATTGTACCAGCCTCCACCACTTCCTCTGGCAGTACATTCCATGCAAACACCACCCTCCGAGTGAAATCGTTGTCTCGCGGATCCCTTTTAAATCTTTCCCCTCTCACCTTAAAGCTATGCCCTCTAGTTTTGCACTCCCCCACCACTATTTACCCTATCCATGCCCCTCACGATTTTATAAACTTCTAAAGGTCACCCCTCAGCCTCCAATGCTCCAAGGAAAATAGCCCCAGGCTTTTCAGCCTCTCCCTATAGCTCAAACCCTTTAACTCTGGCAACATCTTTGTAAATCTTTTCTGAACCCTTTCAAGTTTCACAACATCCTTCCTATAGCACGGAGACCAGAATTGTCTGCAGTATTCCAAAAGTAGCCTAACCAATGTCCTGTACAGCCACATGACTTCCCAACTCCTATCAACAATGCACTGACCAATCAAGGCAAGTATACCAAATGCCTTCTTCACTATCCTATCTACCTGCGATTCCACTTTCAAGGAACTATGAACCTGTACTCCAAGGTCTCTTTGTTCACCAACACTCCCCAGGGCCTTACCATTAAGTATATAAGTCCTGCCCTAATTTGCCTTTCCAAATGTAGCATCTCATGTTTATCTAAATTAAACTCAATCTGCCACTACTCAGCCCATTGGCCCATTTGATCAAGATCCCATTGTACTCTGAGGTAACTTTCATCACTGTCCACTACACTTCCAATTTTGGTGTCATCTACAAACTTACTAATGATACCTCCTACGTTCACATCCAAATCATTTATATAAACGACAAAAAGCAGTGGACCCAGCACCGATCCTTGTGGCACACTGCTGGTCTCAGGCCTCCAGTCTGGAAAGCAACCCTCCACCACCACCTTCTGTCTTCTACCTTCAAGCCAATTCTGTATCCAAATGGCCACTTTTCCCTGTATTCCATGTGATCTAACCTTGCTAACCAGTCTACCTTGAGAAACCTTGTTGAACTCTTTACTGAAGCCCATAGAGATCACTTCCACCACTCTGCCCTCAATCCTCTGAATTTTTTTGAAGAAATAATGAAATCAAGTTAGTGAGACATGATTTCCCACATACAAAGCCATGTTGACTATCCCTAATCAGTCCTTGCCTTTCCAAATACATACAAATCCTGTCCCTCAGGATTCCCTCCAACAACCTGCCCACCACTGATGTCAGGCTCAGTGGTCTACAATTTCTTGTCCTTTCCTTACCACCTTCCTTAAATAGTGGCACCACGTTAGCCAATCTCCAGTCTTCCGGCACCTCACCCATGGCCATCGATGATACAAATATCTCAGCAAGGGGCCCAGAAATCATTTCCCTAGCTTCCAACAGAGTTTTAGTTTACACCCGATCAGGTCGCAGGGATTTGTCCACTTTTATGTGTTTTAAGAAGTCCAGCATCTCCTCCTCTGTAATATGGACATTTTACAAGATGTTGTTATTTATTTTCCCTTGTTCTGTATCTTCCATATCCTTCTCTATAGTAAACACTGTTGCAACCTGTCCTCATTCCCATTAATTACCTTTATTTAAGTTTCACATAGTTGTTTCTGATCCAAGTTTCTCCCTCTCAAACTGAATGCTAAATTCTACTATACTGCGGTCACTATTTTTAAGAAGATCTTTTATTTTGAAATTAATTAAACCTACCTCATTACACATCACCAGCTCAAAAGTATCCCAATTTCTGACTTAAACAACATCATATTAGTCTAAGGAACTATCCCAAATATACTGTGAACTCTCTCTCATGGAAACCTCTGCCAATTTGATATTCCTACTTTACAAGAAGATTAAAGTCACCTATAATTAATCTATTGCCTCCTTTATATCTGCTCATTTTAGGATTTATTTGCTTTTACAGAACAGCTACTGCGAGGGGGCCTCTAGATTACTCAGTGTCTTCTTCCCCTTGTTACCTATTATCTCCATCCATATGGTTTCTACATTATCATTTCCAAGATCATTTCTTGCCAGTATACTAATTATATTGCTTGCTAACAAAGCCAACCCACCACTCTTCCCTTCCTGCCTCTGTCCTTTTGAAAGGTCACTTACACCAAAGTATTTAGCTTTGAACTCCTTGGAACCATGTCGCCCTACTCAGTATATCATATTCATAAACTTCTATTGTGCTATTAATTCATTTATTTTGAGATTTTAAAATATCAAAGTTCAGACCAATTTAAAGCTAGAATAAGGACCAATATTCTATTACTCTAGATTTTTCTGTACTTGTCCATTACATTTCGAGAACCAACATTCTCTTTACCTCTGCTGTTTCCAGGTACTCTCCATTTCAAAACATACTCGGTTTTTTGGTCCAAGATGGATGATCTGACTTGTATTCAAATCCATCTAACACAGTTTTTCTCCATTTAGTTTGATCTGTTATTTTATGATCTGTATTTATTCTAGTTATTGTACAGCCTTATTGTTGTGATATTTGTAAACTCTAACTCTTTATTGCACTTTCAAAGTCATTAAATCAATAGGTGGTGAATACGTGATTCCACACAAACACCACCAGCCACTTCCTTCCAATTGGCCCACATACTCAATAATTCAGGGTAAAATGTGGATGTCAGTGCTGCTGAGTTATATTCAACGGGGGAACAACGATAGCCTGGGATGCACAAAGAGGACAGATTTAAAGAAATACAGATTTTGAAAAGATGGCAGGCTATTGGATAAAGATGGAAAGAAAGGGGTGAGGCTTCCGAATAATTTTAAAACTATTTTTCAAAATAAGGGCATAGTTGGAGCAGGGGGCCAATGTCGGTCAGCAAGCACAAGGGTGCCAGGTAAATGACTTGGAGAGAGATGGCATCCAGATAGCAGAACCTTGGATTAGCTCAAACTTCAGCAATCACTAAAAAGCTCACATCAAATATGAACGGTAATGAGGAAAGTTAGACGGATTTGCAACAGTGTAATGCCAGAGGACTGAAAATCCATTCATTCTGTAATGCTGCTAGCTGCTAAACCATTATTCCAGAAGTCTAACTTTAGATATCATCGATGAGCAAAAATTTAAATAAATTTTGTGAAGGCCACTTTCTCCCAAGTTTGCATCACAGCATGAAATAAAGTCATCATGCTGCATTTACTCCAGCAGAGTTAGTGTGAAAGGCTCCGTGTCAAATTTTATTTTAATAACATTCCTTCTGTGTTCCTTTAAATCTGGCCTCTTTGTACCAGGCTATTGTTGTTCCCCCGTTGAATATAACTCAGCAGCACTGACATCCACATTTTACCCCTGACTTATTGAGTATCTGGGCCAATTGGAAGGAAGTGGCTGGTGGTGTTTGTGTGGAATCAAGTATTCAACATGCATTTGGACACTGTTTTGGAAAGGTGCTTGGAAGTTGTCATAATGAACTCTCTGTATATATTTACCAAGTATCATAACGTTAAGTTTTGCTCAGGTTATTTTGAAGCAGCAAGTTAGACCTTGCAATCCTTTCCCTCACTAAAAATAACATGGCACTTTGTGGATGTGCTGGAAACATAAATTCAGGGGCTTAACAGGGTAGAATGTTTGAGGAGGTTTCCATTCACGGGTGAAACCTATAACTAGGGCCAAATTGTAAAAATAAGGGAGCTCCCATTTAAGATGAGGGTAGAAGAGGAATCTCAGCATCTTATGAAATAGAAACACTTGAATCTCTAAAGGAAGCAGTTACCCTCCAAGGTTGTACAGGCATAATCACCTCGTGGGGTTACCCACACCAAATTAGAATAGTTAGGTGATTATGTTTGTGCTGGTCAAAAACAATGGGCCAAAAGGCCTTTTTTCTGTGTTGTAGATCTCTAGGACTCAAAAAGGGACTGCAGTGATTCAAGGTGGTAGCTCACCACAAACTTTTCCAGAGTAGCTGGAGATGGACAATAAATGCTGGCCCAGCCAGTATTGCCCACATCTCATGAGTGAATTTAATCAAAAAGGGCTATAGGAAGGATGTTGTGAAACTTGAAAGGATTCAGAAAAGATTTACATGGATGTTGCCAGGACAGGAGAGTTTGAGCTATAGGGAGAGGCGGAATAGGTTGGGGCTGTTTTCCTTGGATCATCGGAGGCTGAAGGATTACCTTATTGGATGATGTTTATAAAATCATGAGGGGCATGGATAGGATGAATGGCCAAGGTCTTTACCCCAGGGTAGCAGGGTCCAAAACTAAATGGCATAGGTTTAAGGTAAGAGATGAAAGATTTCAAAGGGACCTAAGGCAAATTTTCACACAGAGAGTGGTGTGTGTGTATGGAATGAGCTGCCACAGGAAGTTGTAGAGATTGGTACAATTACAACATTTCAAAAGGTATCTGGACGGGTAAAAGAAAAGGAAAGGGTTAAGAGGGATATGGGCCAAATGCTAGCAAATGGAACTAGATTAATTTAGGATGTCTGGTTGGCATGGACAAGTTGGACCGAATGGTCTGTTTCCATGCTGTACAACTCTGATTCTATGATTGCTTGGTTTTGGAATTTTCTTCCACAGACAGCAGTGGCAGCTGGCTCATTAGTTAGGCTGAGTTAGAAGATTTATGATTGATGATGATTTAGTGGTGGAAGGAGGAACACAGATAGGAGCAAGCAGTCAAGGCTACAATCAGGTCAGAAGTGATTGTGTTAAGTGGCAGAACAAACTCGAGGGCTGAATGGCCTCTTCTTATTTCTTATGTTAACTGTATAAAATTGCATCGTTCGCACTGGCCCAGCTAAGGGTGGCATATACAGTTAGGTACATTTACATCATGAAGGAGAGGAACTTAAGTTATATTCAGCACAAGAGCAACATTCTTCAGGGCTTCCAATTCAAGTTTTAGCTGACCAAGCAGTGGATAAGCCACTATTCAAACTTTCTCTCCCATTTTACCTGGTTTATTCGGAATTGTCCTTCTTGTGTGTTTTTTTCATCAAATTTTCGTTCCCAGTTTCCTTTAAAATAAATGGCATTCACGAGGACAAGCCTTGTGTACTCGTCAATAATGCGTTCCCTTAACAAATTCGTGATCTTGCCTGGACGATATTGGAAAAAGAAACACAATTACAGGTGAAGGATCAAATGAAGAGAAAAAAAAGGCCAAGACCACAAGAAATGGCGAACTAAAGTCTTATATCTTGCAAAGTGTAGGACATAGTGACTGGGCATCCCGAAACCAGACACTTGATACATTTCCAATTGATGCCTTCCAATGGTGGCTGTGACTGCATTTCAAATGAGACCTTTTTGGGAAGCATTAGCCATTCGAAATATCTATCATTACCATTACTGTTCATGCAAGATGGTAACAAGGGTTTCACGGACACAAAACAAAATGGGACTCCAAGCCACATGGAGATATCAGGTCAGACATAATGAGATAAATTTGAAGGAATGCTTTTCAAAAAAAAAAAAAAAAAAAAAAGGAATGAGAGGTGGAGAGGCTATCCCAGAGATTAGATCCCAAGCAACTGAGGCACAACCACCACTGGTGGAATGATTGAGATCAGTGACATTCAAGAGACCAGATTTAGAGGAGCACAGATCTCTCAAGAGAGGTTGTGTGGCAGGAAGGTCATAGGGGTAAATAAAGACAAGATCATGGAAGGAATTGAAAACAAGCATAATTTTTGTTTAAAGAAAACAGAGATTGGCTCCCAGTCAAACAATATAAATCAACAAGCACCTGGACAATGTGGGAACTGGATGCATGTTATGGACCTCCTCAAGATTACAGGTGTACCAGACAGACTGCGTGTTGGCAGTCAAAAGTCTGGAAGCAGCAAAAGCTTAAATAAGGGCTTCAACAAGTTAACTGAGACATGGATGAAGTTATGGAGTTGGAAATTAAGTGCCCTTAGCAACGATACTGAATGTGGCAGCAAGTTTGAAAACAGCCTGGTTTAAATTGCAGATGGTTGAGTGAATTTAACAAAAAAAAAACAACACAGAAGTGACAGCTGGTTAATTGAACTTATTCGAAGCTGTGTTAGAGAGATTTATGATTGATGGTGATTCAGTTGGTGAAGAGGGCATGTAGAAGTGGAAAAGTGGAACATGCAATAAAGGCTACAATCAGATCAGAAATTATCTTAATGAATGGCAGAACAGACTTGAGGACCATATGGTAGCAAGGGAAAGAGGTTGGGAGCAGGGAGTGAAAAATAATAGTTTAGTCTTCCAATATTTAAAAATAGAGAAGATTCCCGTTTATCAGGAAACAATCTATTATGTTAACATGGGGAAGCAAAGTGGCAAGGTAGAGCTGGAAAGACTTTCCATTTCTTCATTTGGATGAATTACTCCACAGCACTTGCCTTCAGTTTGTGCTTCAGTCCAGGAGTTGATCTGTTGTCTGACTTCTTCAGCTGCATTAACAAAATCCACAGCGGCTAATTCTGCCCCGTAATATTTACGAGTAGATGCAAGGAAATTCTGGAGAATTAACAGGCAACACATCAAAGATAACTAGTTTGCTAATATTCCACTGCACGAACGTTAATTTTACAAGTGGAACAAAGTAACAGTGCAGTTTTAGGGGAGGGGTGGAGCAAGGGAAGGAGATGGACAAATACATTTCTGCCAGCCCCCAGCCCACCCCCATCCCAGGCAAGCGATGTTCATGGTTTACTGCACACAAATCACAAACTTCAGCTTTACACAAAAGACCATGTTGAAATGTTGGGCAAGTCACCAAAGTGCTTACCAACTCCACAGAAGACCAAATGAATGCGGATTGACAAGGTAATAATTAGTGTGCAGGTACAGTTTAGAGTAATCAGTCACTTCCCAAAGTAATTCAAGGTTGGAGAGTTAATCTTATGCAGGAAAAAACACCCTAGTTTCTTAATATTTTTTATACTTTTATCCATCAGCACATTAAAGTGACAACAGCATTTTAATACTGCTGGAGAAAGAGAAATACATGAAACATCAGTAACATCATTAATCAAGATAACACACAAGAACACCAAATATCCAAGAGAGCTAACAAAGCAGAGAAAGGAATGCTGGTTGGTTGGTAAGTCAACCAAAACAGAGCAGGCTGTTTGGCCATGCTAAGGAAAAGACAACATTCACAAGTCCATTTGCAACCAAGTTTCAAAAAGACAATAAATCAGAATCAGGAACTTAATTGGACTCTCCTTTGCAAAGTCCAAGGACTAAAAAGTAAGTGTGTGACTCCTAATAACACTGCCCTGATCTGCTCATTGAAAATAAAAACTACCAAGCTTGGTATTTTATTGGTCTGTGCAATTCTGTCCTATTGGACTTGATGCACCAGCTGAGTTTTACCCCAACCAGTTTACCGAAAGAAAGTTGTGGCTCTTCTCTCCATAGAGGCGATTGGCTAGCTTCAACACATAGTTTTCATTCGGCTTGTGGATTGCAGCTTGAAGTTTCTGAAATTCAGAATGAAGGTCTTGTACCTTGTCAAAAGCAAGTACCTGAAAGAGAGTGAGAGAGAGAAAGATGCAACAAAAAGATTTAGAAACTAACCTAAATTTGACACAGAGAATTCCAGTTGTAAACTGGGGAAACCAGACCAGCTCTTTTGGGAAATTATACCAAAAGGACACCAAGTTGGCACCAATTGGTTTCTTGTTCAACAAACAACTTCTGCATCATTTTGTTTCAATTTTTTTTTGATATATAAACACGCTCATTCTTCTGCTAATTGGTTTGGACAGAGGTCCTGTATATCACAAGGTTTCTTATGTTATATTAAGTGTAGTTAAATCTGACTTTGAGAGACATGCTAATATGACAGGAAGTATTGCAGCGTCATATGATCTTGCTCTCCGAAAAAAGACTGAAAGAGTATTGTGGCCACTTGAAAAGGTAATAGAGGGGTAGGGGCGGACACTGGACTGCTGGAAAATGAGGCTTGTGAAGTAGCAATAGGGAACAAAGAAATGCCAGAGGAACTGAATTTTTTTTTTCTTTATTTCATGTACGGGATGAGGGCATCGTTGGCTAGACAGCATTTATTGCCTATCTCTAATTGCCCAGAGGGCAGTTGAGAGTCAACCACATTGCTGTGGGTCTGGAGTCACATGTAGGCCAGACCAGGTAAGGATGTCCTTCCTTGAAAAGGACATTACTGAACCAGACGGGTTTTTCCAACAATCGGCAATGGATTCATGGTCATTATTAGATTCTTAAATACAGATATTTTCCTCAATTCAGATTCCACCATCTGACATGGCAGGATTTGAATCTGGGACCCCAGAATGTTTGCCGGGTCTCTGGATTAACAGTCCAGCGATACTATCGCTAGGCCATTGCCTTCCCCACCACCTTATGCACTGAAGACTGTCAGTCTTCATGGAGGAAGACATCGGTAGCATACTGGAAATTCAAGAGAGTCGGGGGTAAAGGTGAGCATAGTGGCCGTTGCTAAGGAGAATTTTCTGGTGAAGCTGAAAGGTCTGAAGGTGGTTAAATCACCCAGATCAGATGGTCTACACTCCTGGATCCAAAGGTGATAACTGAGGAGGTTGTGGAGGCATTTCAGAATCATTCTAGTTAGGGAGGGTTCCAGAGGACTATGAAACGGCTAATGTAACATCCCTGTTAAAGAAAGGAGGGAGGCAGAGGATGGGAAACTTATAGCTGGTTAGCATGACCTCAGGTAAGATTTTAGAGTTCTTTATGAAGTATGAGGTTTTGGAGTACTTGAAAGTGCATAGTAAAACAGGGCTGAGTCAGCACGGCTTTATCAAGGGGAGGTCATTCATAACAAATCTGTTAGAGTTTTTTAAGAAAGTAATGAGCAAGTTAGACAAAGGGAACCCAGCAGACATGATCCATTTGGGTCAGAAGGCCTTGGACTAGGTGCCACACAGGAGGCTGCTCCTAACACCATGGGCTCTTATTTAGCAAGGTACTGGCATGGATAGACGATTGGCTGACTGGCAGAAGGCGGAAAGTGGGGATAAAAGGGTCTTATTCAGGATGGCAGCCAGTGACTAGTGGAGTTTGGCAGGCGTGCATATTGGAACCGCAACTATTCATGTTAGGTATTAATGATATGGATGAAGGAAGCAAGGGTATTGTTGCTAAGTTTGCAGATGACACAAAGATAGGTGGAGGGACAGGTAGTGTTGAGGAAGTGGGGAGGCTGAAGAAGGACTCAGACACGTTAGGAGGGTGGATGGAGAAGTGGCAGATGGAATATGATATGGGAAAGTGTCAGGTTAAGCATTTTGATAGGAAGAAGCAGCATAGACTATTTTCTCAGAGATAGTAGGAACTGCCGATGCTGAAGAATCTGGGATAACAAGGTGTAGAGCTGGATGAACACAACAGGCCAGGCAGCATCAGCGGTGCAGGAAAGCTGACGTTTTGGGTCTGGACCCTTCTTCAGATTTTCTATTTTTTTTACTGAAGATTGGGGTGGGGGCAGTAAGGAGTAAATAATGGGTGGAGATAGAGTCCAAAAGAGGGAGAGGAGAATAGGTGGACATACAGAGGAGTGGATAACAATCAGCCTGGAAGAATGAATAGCTACTAATGGGGACCATTCGTCACGAACAATGGGGTGTGTGTAATAGCAGACCATGTAATAATAAGACCCAGTGGGGGTTGGGGTAAGGACATGGGGCAAAGTGCCTCAAGACCTAAAATTGTTGAACTCTATACTGAGTCCAGAAGGCTGTAGAGTTCCCAAGCGGAAAATAAGGTGCTGTTCGTCCAGCTTACGCGGAGCGGTGCTGCAGCACTGCAGCAAGCCTGAGACAGAGACATTGGCCAGGGAACAGGGTGGTGTATTGAAGTGGCAGGCAACTGGAAGTTCAGGGTCTTTTTTGCAGGCAGAATGTAACAGTTCTGTGAAGTGGTCACCCAGTCTACACTTCATTTCCTCAATGTAGAAGAGACCACATTGTGAGCAGCGAATGCAGGAGACAAGATTTTTTGTGAAGTGCAGGTGAAGTGCTGCTTCACCTGGAAGGTGTGTTTGGCCCCTTGGATACTGAGGAGGGAGAAGTAAACAGGCAGGTGTTACACAGTCTGCGGTTGCAGGGTAAAGTGCCATGGGGCTGTGGCAGTGGTGGTGGTGGCAGGGCTAGGGTTGTTGGAGTGAAGGAGGAGTGTAGCAGGATGTCCCGGAGGGACGGTCCTTATGGAAGACTGACAGGGGAGGTGAGGGGATTATATGTCTGATGGTGGCATCCTGCTGGAGGTGGCAGAAATGGTAGCTAATAATCCTCTGGATGTGGATGCTGGTGGGATGATAGGTGAGAACAAGGGGGACCCTATCACTTGTTGTGGGAGGGAAGAGAGGGGGTGAGGGCTGAAGTGCAGGAGCTGTGTCAGATCCAACTAAGGGCTCCATCAAGCACTGTGCTGGAGAATCCTCAGTTGAGGAATGTGGCGGACATTTTGGAGGCCCTCTTGATGAATTTGGCATCATGAGAACCGGTGCAGAGGAACCGAGAAAATGGAATAGAGTCTTTACAGAGAGCAGAATGTCAGGACGTATAGTCAAGGTAACTGTGGAAGTTGGTTGATTTGTAGTGGAGCCTGGTGGTCAGCCTATCGCCAGAAATGAAAACAGAGATAGACCAGGCGAAGGTGACAGTGGGGTTGCTACACAAGTTGGAGAGGTAGACTGTAGGGGTGTGGAAGCTGGCCCTTTTGCTTTCAGGTGTAAATTCAAAAGAAAAAGCAGATAAACAAGGTTCTCAAGGTGTATAAGTGATTGAGGCAACTACAAACCCCACACCCCTGCCTAGATTTTAAATAGAGTGTTACAAATGGAGATAGAGAGGCTGATCACAAGCCATAAAATGGGCCAGATGTCCTATCCTGCTTCTTACACAAATGCACTGGACACCAGAAAAGGACCAGAGACATCACTGCACTGTTGCCCAGCAGGGAGCTCAAGATTAGTCTGTCCTGACTGTAGTATCAGCAACAGCAAGGCAACAGGTTGCATTTCATCACATCAGAAATTGCAAAATTTTAGGCTATTACTTTGATAGTTCCTATGTTGCTACAGCAGGCCAAGCAGCTTATCTGGACAGCAACTACGATTCAGATCTGTGGTCATTTGTTTACTTCCACAATTAAAAATTGCAATACAAAATCAATACAAATTCCATATTTGGAATTTATAAATGGAATGCATTATTTAACTAACAGATAGGGAGGCAGCATGTGCCTATGTTTTTGAACAGCATAATGCAATTGAGTTATTATGCTGAATTCACATTTGTTTTTAGCTTTGAAAATGCTGTTCTAAAGACTGCAATCCAGAGTTGGCACTCATCACAAAGCATTTAATTCATTTTATGTGCCAAGCCCATATTAGATCATGTGTTAAAAGCTGCTGTTATTCTAAATGACTGCATTTGCTGATTACACAGAAACTCATCTTCCATTAATCAACCCAGTTAGGCAGTTCCAAAGGTTGTTGAAAGATAAAGAAATACTCAAGATCAAAAAAAACATCATTACAGTTTAAAATTGTCAAACTTTAATTTTTTTAAAAAAGCACTATTTTTGTTGCCATGGGTTAAGACTGCACATCACACTGTGGAAAATTGTTTTTTTTTTGTTACAATGTGACTCAAACTGTGTGACCAAAAAGAAACAATTTTAACTAAAGCCATCCACACAAAGGTGAATTTTTTAAAAAAAGCTCTTTCTGTTGAATAATCAGCTTTGTCATTGCAATCTATTGCTCAAACAGACCGCATGGTAAGATTGTGCTCCATTCTTAACTTCGCTTATGACAAATTTCAGTAGATTAGTTTATCTGATCACTGATATTACATTTACTTGGACAATGACAGCTGTTCTCTGAAGGCCTTAGCCTGGCAAAAGATCCTAAGACACATTACATTTTTAAAACACAAACAACTTCTACCCCCTCTCCATTCCTGTGAGTTTCTTAAAAGTATTTTTTTCAGCTAATATCAGCACAGTAAAGTTACAATGATCTTATGGCAATCAGTCAGGTTCAGAGGAGAAGGTTTCATCAACTTCAGAATTAATTTACATCAAAATTAAAGCATTACACTGAATGAACATTCCTCCTGTTTCTTATTTCCTGCTAATTCTAGACGGCTGCCTTACTTAGTTTTCTGTCCTGTCCTATTTGTAAACACACTATTTTTATATTAGAAACCATCAATCTATGCAACTAACCATCACCTCTTGAAGAAAACTGTACAGGTTCACCGTTCAATGGAGCTAATGATCTTCTGAAATACAACTTCTTACAACCAGGCCACTGACTTCTCCTTTGCTGACAAAAAAGAAGCCAGGAGGGAGACAGGGGTAGAAAAAAAGACAGGTGCATTGTAATCATCTGAAATGCATTGTCTGAAAGGGCAGTGGAATCAAATTCAACAGCAACTTTAAGAAGACAGCTGTATGGATAAATTATTTTTAAAAATGGACTACAGGACGTGCTGGGGAGTGGCACCAAAAGGTGCTTCTTTTAAACAGCTGGCATAGCCAAGATAGCCCAAACAGTCTCTGCTCATGCAGGCTCATTCTCTATGATTCTATAACTGCTACCAAAGTCACAGATGGAGAGAGAAAACAGATGAGTGCAGCAATGTGATAAAAGATAGAATCACTTGCTACAACCAGCATTTATTTCTTATTTGTTTTTCATAGTTAAGCATATTGTCTGTTCAGTTTAGAAGTCCAAAAGGGGAATAAATAGGTGCAGACAAGATTTGTAATTACAATATAAAAATGTATGGACCTACATATCAGGAAAGGATGAACAGATTGGCTCAGTATTCTCTTTGTGCTGGAAGAGTGCATGCAAGTGGAAGAATGACTTGTCATGAGTTATTTACAATTATGAATGTTTTTGATTGAATGGACACACAGATAACATGTCTATCTTGAGGGGAAGAGCAGGACTAGAGGCCACCTGTTGAGACACAGTCACCCAGCAACCCAAAAAGGAACTCAGAAAATGTAATGTATTCCCCTAAGAGTGGTGAGAAATGGAACTCACTACCAAAGGAAGTGGCCGAGTTGACGAATCTAAAAGCATTTAAGAGAAAGCTACACCATCATTTGAAGGAAATGGAAATAGAGGGGATACAAGGATAGATTCAAATGAAGAAAGATCGAAGGAGGCTCAAATGGAGCATGAGCATTGACAATGGTCTGATTGGGTCAACTGGTCTGTTTCTGCACCAGGTATCCTCTACCAATAAAAGCATACCTTTAATATTGCAATTATCATGATACACCCACCTCAGCCATCTGAGTGGCCGTGTTTCCTTTAGCACCAAGATACACCATGGCCAGTGCAGCTGATATACTCAATGGAGATACAAAGATATTGCCATCTTTGTTAATTTTATCCAACTGTTTGAAGAGATCAAGAGCAAACTTGGCATTTGAAGCACTCAGAAGATCCATTCCTGATGTATCTAGAGGAGGAGAAAAGAAAAACATTGAATTGCAGTTTGTTCTGCTTCACCTTCCAGGCAGCATCAGAAAAGACACTTTGTCAAAATGTCAGTCATTTGGGATTTGCTCGAGTTCCAAGGGGTAGGGAAAGCTTTAATTTTTTAAATTGCAAAAATATGCTTTATTCATTAAAAAAGTCATTGTTAAAGTACATATAAACGTTCTAAATCATATCTGTACAATCTTTGCAGAAGAAAAAAACTGCATTGGAATTTTGACACTTCTCAGAGCTTCTCTACAATTGCAAAATACAAAGGCATTTCCTACTTAAAGCAACTAATTATCTATGTCCACCAAGAGGGCCTGACAACTGAACAGACCTCGGTTGTGGTTTGGCAGAAAGACCTTAGACCGTGGTCTTTCTCCACTGTGCCCTGGCAGCAGTTGCCCCAAGCTTTAGTGAGTCCCTCGGCACATAGTCCTGGGCCTTGGAACGTGCCAGCCTGCAACACTCAGTTGAGGTCAATGTGTCATACTGGAAGACCAATGGGTTTGGGCAAACAAAAGAGTGTCTTTCACTGAATTGATGGTCTTCCAGGCACTTTCGACATTTGCCTTGGTGTGTGTCCTGGGAAACAGCAAAGTCCTCTGTCATGGAGCTGCTCGGGTCGAACCTTGACAAAAACTGATGCATCTCTCTTTAGATCATCTTTGCAAAGGCACATTCCAGAAGGAGATATGTGACAGTCTTGTCTACAGCTCAGCTACTTCAAGGGCAGTGTGCTGTGGCGCACACAGAGACTGGGCATGCATGACGGACCTAACGGTTAGTTGGTGCTTGTTAGAATGTTCTGGTGATGAGGCATTCTGCCAAATGACTGACAGTCTGCTCAGGGAATCAGGGATCCACCCTCTCCTTTTCTCACAGGGCTTTAAGGACATTATGTGCTAACCACTTCCTGAAGGACTGACGGTCAAAGATGCTTCTCTTTGCAAATTTTTCCACGAGGGACAAGTGACATGGAACAGTCCAAATACTTAGGAGCATTCTGCGTAAACGAGGCTCAACCCATCCTTTGCAATATCACGGACAGGTAGAACCTCAGTACACAGTGACACTTGGTATTTGTGCTCAGTGCTTGCTGAGTAGATAGGTTGATTAAATTCTGAGCTAACAGTCTATTTTTTGCAGGGGAGGGGGGGCAGGTGGAAGCGACTGTGGGAAGCATCGTAATGTTTCAGGAGCAGTGTTCCAGTTTTGCATTATAATGGAGTGACAACAGATTTCAGAAGCAAAGAGAGTGGCCAGAAATTTCACCAAATGTAATACCTTAGTAATCTCAAAATCACGATGTCTGCAATTATTACATTAGCACGTACATTAACACGTTCTTGAAACACAATTTCCTTGAAAGTGTGTATTGCTTCATGCAGAACGAAAAAAAAAAATCACTAAAACCTGAAAGAGTTGGTTGTACATGCACCAGCCCTTCAATTAAAATGGCAGTCATTGCAAATTTCCTGGACTTGAGATAACTTTCTCACTTTTTGCAGGAATACTGTCAAAATTCCAGTTGGCTCAGGCTCTAGTTTCCATTGTTTTCCTGGCCAACCTCCGACACTGAACCCTAGGCAAATTTGAACTAACTCACAACTCTGCTGTCCAAATCCTCACTCACACAGAGTCCCCCATCATCCCAGATCTCACTGGCTTATAATGATCGGAAAGGGCTGACCACCAGTCTCCACTACAAATCAACCGACTTCCACAGTTACCCTAAATACATTCGAGGGTGAGTTAGACCTATTTTTGATCGATGAGGGAATCAAGAATTATGCGGCAAGTAGCAAAATGGAGTGGAGGCCACAAGTAGATCAACTTCAATCTGAGTGAACGATGGACTTGAGGGGCCAAGTGGCCTACTTCAAATCCAATTTACATCATGTTCCAATAGCACCTCCATGTTAAAATTCTCCTCTTTGTCTTCTAACCATTACTTTCTCAAGTGTAATTAGGGATGGGCAATAAATACTGGCCAAGCCAGTGACACCCACATCCTGCAAAAGAATCCTTCCATAAATTCCTTCCATGACCTCACCCCTCCTTATTTAAATTCATTCTTCCCACAGTTCTGCAACCTTCAGATTTCTGCACTCCTCCAATTTTAATTGTCTTATCTCTGATGGTTCTCAACACCACCTCCTTAAAATCCTACTTCTGACTGCCTGTTTTAATACTGTGTGTGATTGGTGCCAAAATTTCTTTGAGTACGCTTTGCAAAGATGCATGGGACTGAAAGATAAATACAAAATTATTATCCCACTGCACACAACATTATGGTGACCATACCAAATGATCAGCAAGGATAAAGGATTAATGCATTTACCTGTGACTAAGTAACATTAATCAGTAAAATCATTTAATTGCACTTGCAGGCTAAGAATGCACGACACACTTATTTTCAATACTGACAACACATACTTTTGAAGGTATAAACTGAAGACCGGATTTATAGGACGATCACAGAACTTGGATGTCAAAATGCCACTGCAGCTGCAGAATTAGCACAGGGTTGAAAGAAATCCTTCTGAACGTTCTGTTTTTCTCCTGTCCTCACTGCAGCACATTCAAATCAGCTTTCCAGTGAAACTTAACTTACGATAAAGGTCACTATTACAGCAATATACTATATTGTTACAGAAAAAAAAAAATCAACAAGGGCATTCCAAACTCAACAACTGCAATGAAATTAATACTGTATGACTATTGTTCATACAATGCCTGATTCACAACCATTGAAGTTCAACCATTCTGATGACACTATATTCCCCCATTCCTCAAACTGTTTTCAAAGGTTAGTTGAGCCTTGACCTTAGTGTCAAATAACAGAAACAGACCCTTTCGCCAACTCGTATGCGCCGACCAGACATCCCAATCTCACCTAGTCCCATTTACTGGCATTTGGCCCATATCCCTCTAAACCCTTCCTATTCATATACCCATCCAAATGCCTTTTAAATGTTATAATTGTACCAGCCTCCACCACTTCGTCTGGCAGCTCATTTCTCACACCCACCACCCTCTGCTTTAATTAGTGTTTTATGACTATGGTGCAAATGAAAGCTTAATCAGCATCGTTTTGGAGAAAGATTTCAGGAATTTTACATTCCAACGTATCACACAAGCACACACAAAGTGATTTTGTGAACAATTAAGAGCACAAGCCGATTTCTCCTCATGTAACAGATTACTGCAAATAAAACAACTTTACTTATACTATGCATAATTATGGTAGAGAAGGTTATTCTGGGCTTGTATAATAATAAATGTAAGAATTCTCAATTAAAACTGGACCCAACTGGAAATAAACAGTGGTTAGTATCCCAGCGCAAGGCAGGTTGACTGATTAAGCTTGAGGGATGCTAAAGGTTTCAATGTAAAGTGTTCAGAAATGGCTTTTCAGCTCGAATCAACAGGTGGTATAGGCGTTAGATCATTCCAGAGAATTAATAAAGAACACTACAGCCAAACCCAGCCACGGTTCCCTTTCACTCAATGAGTCGGCATTGAAGCATTCAAAAAGCTAGGAAAATGAATCACAGTCGCGGGTGTGGTTATGTTGTTTTAAGATTACAGGAGGCGGAGCAGTTATGGGTCAGATGACTGAACCATTCATTGTCGAGGCCTGGCCTAACAAGCTAGAGAAACCCCAGCGCACCTAACATTTTTAACTCCCTGAATTCGATCGAGCTGTAAGAACCAGGTTAACAAATATCATAGAATAACTTAAACTATCACAGACTACATCCAATTATGGCAGCAACAGCCAAACCAAAAAGAGGGAGAGAAATGTTCAGGAAACAGCTTTTAGCTTGTTTCTGCCTTCTCAATGCACATAACGCCAGCTGAAGATCGGCTTTGGCGATGGTTGAACGCTATCCCCTCCCGCTCGGTCTGTCGAACAGCAGAAGTTCCTCTTTGCTGAAGCGCAGCAGCGGACAGACCCACCCGAGTAGCGACTGAGCCAGTGAGAGCCGCAGTGCTCGGGTTCACTGAGTGCTGTTGCTGAGTTGTGACAGAGGACAGCGCTAGCGAAACAGCAACAGTATAAATACCAGCTGATGGTAAGCATACTCACTACGGCGTGACTGGCAGCACAACGAACACTCGAGCATAACATCAGCCCGGCCACGGTCCCTCCTATTTTATTAAGTCCAGTTAGCTGACGAGGCGGGTCCTGACAGCCTTGGCACATGACGGTGTGGATGGGAGGGGTGAAGTTCAAACCTTTACGCTCCTTCCTTTTCAACACTGTTCCACCTCAATGCTCCATTGGAATCGCTTTCCAGAAACACAAATCGCTGGCGAAGTTCAGCAAGGTCTGGCTGGGTCAGTAGGGAGAAAGCGGAGTTAACATTTCGAGTCCGGTGCCTCCTGTTCTTACTCGGAAGCAAAATCGGAAATGTCGAGTTTTCGCAGCAATAACTGGTTTTTGTTTCTGATTTCCAGCATCTTGCGGTTCTTTGTTCTATTCTTATTCTCTACCTTAACAAGAGCCCATTGAGATCCCAGCTGTCAACTTTTAAAAAAAAACCGAAAAGAAAACTGCGGTAGCTGTTAAATCAGAAACAAAAAGAGAAATTGCTGGAAAAGCTGAGCAGGTCTGGCAGCATCTGTGGAGACTAAACAGAGTTAACGTTTCAGTTCTAGTGACCCTTCCACAGAACTGCATTTTAATATTGTTTTTAATCAACCTCTTCAGTTTCCTGATGGTGGTTAATAGATGAACAAAATATCACAGGTGATTTTGGTGACTGGAAGAAAAAAACTGTTTAGTTGTGTTTAAGAATGCTTTTGGATACAGAGGGAAAAAATAACCTCTTCAGTCCCAGGAGGCTTGGGTTCAAGCCCCACTTTCTCCAGAGGTGCATCATAATATCTCTGAACAGGCTGATTAGGAAGAAAAATCTACAAGATTCTCGGGGGAAACAAACACAAGAAACTGTGGATGCTGCAAATCTGAAACAGAAATTTCAGGGGGAAATTCAGCAGGTCTCGCACAATCTGTTGAGAGAAAACAGTCCAGTGATCTTTCTTCAGAACCGAACCTGCTAAGACTCTTAGGGAAATTGACAGGGTAGGTGTGAATAAGGTTGTTTCCGCTTGTGGAACTGTCTAGGACCAAAGGGTATGAGGTCAAGATTAAAGGGTCGCACATTTTAAAAATAACTCAACCTCTTCAAACAGATTAAGAATGCTACATTCCCCCATGGAGTGTGGGTTTGGAACCCTGACCTTCCGGCCCAGTGGTAGGGATGCTACCATTCCATTAAAGACCCCATTTATGAATCGTGTATTTTTATAATCACCCTGTTCAACTACAGAGAATGCTGTGTCATCACAGTCAGAGACTATTACTCGTGGCTTTGTTTACATCCATTAGACAGGGAACTGGGGGAGAGCTGAGCAGGAATATGCAAGCCAACAACATGTTCATAGACATTAGAGTAGATAGAGTCAGTGATAATTATTCATTTGTTGTCACGTGTATCTTGTTACAAAATAGTGAAAAAGTGTTGTATGGTGTCACCACTCTCTGGCGCCATCTTAACGCATAGAAAAATGAACCAAAACACAGATTATAAAAGGCAGACAAATGAAAAAATAAAGAGTGTCCAACTTTACAGTCCTTCTTGTTAAGTATTTGGTCATGGGCCGAGTGGCCAGGCACGAGTCACCTATGCTGCACCGTTACTGAAACAAAAGTTACCACCATTCAGCACCATCTTGCCTCCAGCAATACCCTCGCTACTGCGAGTCCTCTCTGAACCTCACCAATGCAGACACCACTGATGCTGATGAGTACTGAAACAGCTGAAACACAACTCTGCCACTGCCATGAGTCCATTTCAGGCCCAGCCACAGGAAGGCTGGAGGAGTTGATGATGATTTTACTGAGGAAACTGACAATTACATAAGCTTCGCAAAAGAAGGCACTGTCTGAGAAGAGGGAACCATTTGAAATCTCAGTGTGCAAGGAGTCAGGAAGGGAAACAGGTCACTCAGAATCTTTATGAGAAAGAGGCAAAGAAGCAGGAGGCAGGTATTGTTGATGACATGAGTTTGGAGAGGGTTGGGGTGGGGCAGGAAGGGGTTGGTTGAGGGGTCAGTAACGAGAGTGACAGGATCCAAAAGCCGGCTTGCTATGGCTTGACTTGGAAATGAAGAAAGTTTTGACAATATGAATTGTGAGGGATTTTACAAACTATTTTGAGAAAGAACTGTCACTAATCAATTCAACAGCGACAGAAAAGGCATGAGAGATGACAGGTTCTGAGGGAATGGCCAGGCAACAGAGGTTGGACCATTTACTCAAGGGTAAAGTTTCCAGAGGATGGTGCATTTGAAGAAACAAGGTGAGCAGGAAAGAATTTAGAAATTGTTGAGGATGAGAAGTCATTCTGTCCACTCTGGGGGCCACTGAAGTGATTGGAATCAGGTCAGCCATGTGGACCTCATAGAATATGAGTTCCCTGATTGGGGCTGTTAATCTGGTCCAATCAGGGAGCCCTGGCTGATAGATATAAACAGGAGTGTCAAAGGTACTGTTCACTCTGAGAGCTGGCTTTGAGGAAGCTGGATCAGTGGCAAGTACCATGCACAAGTAAATAAAGGGTGACTTGGTGATGGAATACTGGCTTCTGTGGAGTTACTTCAGTGGTGACAAGAGAAAAGCGTTCTCCTGAAGAAATTCACTCGCAATAGTCGTCTTTGAAATGGGGTAAGCATTTTAGGCATCATGCCATTATTTTGGAAGCTTGACTTGTTCGATCCAGCCGTCGAAGACTGGATCCAGTATGTGGAAAGAATGTGTTATTTTTTCCAGGCAGCTGAAACACAATGAATAATTCTCTTGGTAATTAGGAGCCTAACTTTCCCTGATGCAACAGGTACTAAGATCTTTTTCAAGAGTTGGCAGGTTTAGTTAAGGAATATTATGACCCCAAGCTTCATTTAATTCTGAGATGGTACTGTTTTTGCCCAGGAATGCGAGAACCAGGGGAACCCATATCGCGATTTTTGACAAGATTAAGATGGCTGGCAGAGAACATGTGATTTTGGTTTAATTCTTAATGACATGCTGAGAAACCATTTGATATGTGGGATTAATGATGTAACCATGCAAAAGCGCCTAATAGCTGAAGCCTACCTGGACTTCAAACAGGCACTACAACTGGTTTTATCATTGGAAAATGCGGCAAGTGGAACATATGAGTTGCAGGGTATTCCGATGGAAGTGGACACCCTCGGCAGTCTGAGTGAGCTTGGGGAACACTGCCTGAGTGAAGGCAATTGCATAGCCTCACTCAGGACATTTCCTGAACAGAGGGACTCTAGGTCATCCCACAGCAAAACCCTAAAACAATGCCAAGCCTTGGCCAAACAGTTAAAATTTTCTTCAGGATCTGGGTCGGCAAGTCATTGTAGTTGCTGCAGGTATGCGGGCTCGAGACAGCAAGAAAGTCCTGTTAGACCTAAATTGAGTAAGAGAAGCAATAGGCCAGTATCCAGGAGAGTGCAGACACTGGAAAGTCCACCTACATCTGGTTGGAACAGTTACATTGCTTAACAACATCCAAATCAGAACCAATCAAAATAAACGTCTGGTTAA